AAAGACAATGTATTATATTTTATTTATATGAATTGTAAGAAAAGGCAAACTTTTAGTGACAGAAACTAGAGTAGTGGTTGCCTGGGACTGGGAATGGGCACAAAGAATCTTTTGGGGTGATGAAAATATTCTAAAACTGAATTGTAGTGATGGTTGCAAAATTTAGTACATTTACTAAAGTTCATTGAATTATACACTTGACAAATGAATTTGTGATATATAAATTATAACTTTATAAAGTTGTTTGAAAAAAAAAAAGCAATGAGCAGCCAGAGTTTTTGATGAGCTTTCTAAATGTACCAAATGTTTAATGTTAAATAAAAAGTGAAATTATATAAAACAAGTTAACATGCTTTATTGCACTTAGATATATTGCACTTAGAAAATCAAAATAGCAATATTTGTATTTCACAGAACAGTTTTTAACAAAATTTTCTCAGTCATGTCGTAATGAGGAAGAAATCTTTTCCAACCCACTGGCTCCAGCATACCAAGTGATAAGTAGTTCTCTCCTTATACTTTGCTGACACACTGCAGGTATGCCCTTGACTGTGAATGGTTACCATGGTTCACAATAATATTTTGCCCATGATGAAACTTTCATGAAAAGAATGCATGGCCAATAACAATTAATTAAAGTCTTTTAGGACTTTTCTGCCCATAATTAAAATGCAAGTTAAGTTTGAGATGGATGTTTTAATGTGATCAGGAAATTTAAATTATTTTTCAGTATCTAATATTTGTTCTTATGTTGTTAGTAATTCTTGAATGAGTAGGTAAAATTGTAAGTTTAAATTTTAAAGAAATTAGTCGCCAATCAGAAAACAAAATATCATCATACAAGAAAATAGCTTCAGCACAGCTTGTACAGAGGAAAATGTAAACCAAAGAAATAAGAAATTGTAAAAATCTCTTCCTGGGAAGAGGAGTCTAGGGTGGCCTTAACTAGTGCCTTCAATATGAAAGGTCATTTGCAGAGGACAAACAGCTGTCCATGTCCAGCTATTCCCCTTCTCCACAGAGGCCATACTAGATGACCGAATTTCAAGAAGGTGTTGTAGTTAGAAGAAGGAATGAATTTTTTGACAAGTTGGTTTACCTAAGATTGGGATTATAAAGAAAGCTATGCAGGCTTCTCTCTGGGAATCCTAAAAGTTTGCAGAATCTGAACATAGGTATTTATGCATGAATATAAAAAAAATTAAGTGTTTTATATTTGTTGTAAAAAATAGACTTTCCCCACATGTGCAAAATATAAC